TACTAAGGATACAGAAAAAGATGTAACAAACGCAATTTACATCAACTGAAATTTTTGAATCATTTTTGAGAACATATAAGATAAAACCTTTAAGTTAAGCTATACATATGTTCACCGGTGGTGCTGGTAAACACCTTTAATCCCAGTACTCGTGAGGCAGAGGCAGGCAGATCTCTGTGAGTTCGAGACCAGCCTGGTCTACAGAGTAAGTTCCAAGACAGGCTCCAAAGCTACAGAGAAACCCTGTCTCGAAAAACCAAAAACACAGACATACACACACACATGTTCTATCAAAGTGCTATTTTCTGTAACTAATTTCCCTTCAGGAGCTCTGTATCCAAGGCATCTTCCATTCTCGTTAGTTTTTAGAAATCTAATTTGGTATATCCTAGTGTGGATTTCTTAAGAGTTTTTATTGTTTGGGTTTGCTCTGCTTCTTAAATTTGAAGTTTTACATTTCCAACTGAATGTTGGGCACCACTATTATTTTTCAGACTTTTTTAGCTTAACATTTCTTTCTTGCCCCTTTATTATATACACATCAGGCCCTTTGCTGTAGTCCCATGGGCTCCTGAAGCTTTGTTCAATTAATTTTCAATCTTTTGATAACAATGGATCACTATCAAATTGCCTTCAAATTCACCAAATTTTTTTCTGATGTCTCCAATTTCCAAAGAGCCCATCCAATGACTTCCTTGTCATGTTGCTCTGTGTGTGTCTGTCTGTGTGATACTGGACATGGAACCCAGGGTTTGTCTAACACATGCTAGGTAAGTGCTCTAACAATAAGCTTTGTACGTTTTCATATTTGTAAATTTTCAAATGCTCATTTGGTCTTTTCCTGCATCACTTGTTTCCCAGGTGTTTGATGATAGCTGTCCTTGTCTGATAATTCCAATACCTGCATCATCTTGGTGCTGTCATATGCTTTTTTCCCCTTACAGCTGGTGTTTTATCAGTAAAATGAGCAATTCTGGACTACACCCTGAAAAGATGAAGTTGTATTAGAGCAATCTATTCCTATTTAAAACCTTCTTTCTTAGCAGGTCACCAACCTGTTAAGTTCAGAATGAGTATGGCCTGGATTCTTTTGGTGGACTCTGCTTTAAATGTCAACTTAGTGTATATGCCTCTGCCTGGCACAGATGACAGGACTCCATTCTGGTTTCCACAGAGTTAGCTATGGTAAGGGAGAGGTGCCAACTCATTACTACAGGGCAGAGTATAATGCAAGTTTCCATCCACTGATCCTGGAGTGGAGGGTAAGAGGAAATAGAACTCTGTGAACAGTCTCCACAGGGAAGGCAATTAGTACTTCCGTAATGATAAAGACATCAGGAGCAAAGTTAGAGTTCCACTTACAGGTGTATGTCAAATGATTCTTACTATTGAGAGGAGACAGGGCAAAAGCAGAAAGTAAGGTTTTGCCTAAAAGTTCCATGGAGAAGAAAAGAAAACTTGTGGGTGCTAAAGAGATGTCTCTGTGGATAAGAGGGCTGGCTGCTCTTATAGAGGACCTGGGTTCAATTCCCAATACCCACACAGCAACACACAACTGTCTGTAACTCCAGGTCCATGGGATCTGGCACCCTCACACAGACATACATGCAGGCAAAACACCAATGCACATAAAATAAAAACAAATAAATTATATTAAAAAGATGACTTGTTACTGTAGGGGATCATAGACAACAGATATTCAGCTGCTCGCTCCATTGCAATAGTGCCAACTGGGGCTGATGAGCAGTGAGCTCTTTCTTTCTGTATTTACTCTAGAACAGGCAGGTACAGTCAAAAGGTTTCTCTGTAACTGCATAACACTTTTACAAGCTCTTTGGTTACAGACATTTAGGGAATTTTCTTTTTGTCTGTGTCTGTTTGTGTTTCCAGTTTGCAAAACACCCAAGCTAAGAAATGTAGGAAGAAAGGAAACCTTGGTTAACTCTCTGAATTGTACATCTTTAAGTCTAGTACTGAATTTTTTCCCCTCTGTTAAATGACTTTTATTCAGAGATTAGAAAACAGTAAAATGAAACCTGATCATGAGTCCAGTGCAGAACTAGCTCTGTTCTGTTCTTTGCTTTCTTTTGTTAGACAGGCTCTCACCATTCCAGACTGGTCTCAAATTCCTTATGTAGCCAAAAATGATCTTGGGCTTCTGATCCTGTGTCCACACCGTTAATATTGTGTGTACTCCAAAACATCAGTTTTATATGGTGCTAGGATCAAACCCAGGGCTCCATGAATGCTAGGGAAGTATTTTACCAAGTGACATCTCTAGATCTGCCATTCTGCTTTTAGCACTAAAAATAAAATGGATTGAGAAGTAGAAGGTTGGAAAGATGACTAGAAATATAGATAAGCAACAAGGGAGATGTCAATGAATTAGAATTTAGTGATAGGTAATAAGGGTGGAATCCAGAAAATCCTTGCAATTTTGTTATATATTTGCTTGAACAAACTCATAAAAATGTTGAAAAAGAAACCTTTGATTAAATTAAAAATACAGGTGGTTTTTCTTCTAATTCCGTATTATACAAAGGAAACAGAAGAACTCCTCTGTGGACTGAGAGTTATTGGATATTTGCTCTAACTAATAAATTACCAAATTAATTTGGCATGAGATGCTATTAATGACAAAAGCTCTTTGAAGATGCTCTACCTAACAGAATGCTGCTGCTTAATAGCTTCATTGTGTCCACACCTAGTCAGTCCTTAGCTTTGTCAGCTCTTGCATCCTAACAGCAATTCTCTAAGCTGAAGCATTTAAAGAAGCGTTAATGTTAGGGAGAGAATAAATTCATTACTTAGAATAAAATAAAAATAAAAGAGAGGGAACTAGTCACAAATTAAAGCTTTCTTCCTGAAAATACAACTTAACATAAGGACTCAAATTGAAGGGAATATGAGATAGTTACTGCTTTTGGTCCTTCCAGTCAAAACGACTAACTCACATTAAAATGTCTTAAGTGAATTCTCCTGACTTCTCCCATAGATACAAACAGGATAGTTAGCATGTAACACATAGAAGAGGGAAAGCAGGCAGTAGAATAAGACAAACTTAATTTAAATCCTGGTTCCATTTTCTATTTAAGACACACTAGATTAGTGTTCGGTAGTTCTCCAAGTATCAATGGGAGTGACAAACACAGACCTTAGAGTTAAAATGGTAACTAAAAAAAAAAAAGCATTCTCTTGTATATCTAGAAATTTATTTGGACACACACTTTTCTAATTCTACGAAGGATAAAATGAAAACTAATCAAGAATCTTAGATGGGTAGAATGGTGCCTTACATGTCTGCAGAACTGACCTGGACAAAACTTGAGTCTGGTATTATATGTACCCTGACTCCTTCACTGGCCAGTATATTTTGTGGCCTGGGTAAAATTGCCATTTAATGCTGAACTCATTAATTCTGCAGCAGTCCTGGAAATCCCACAGGACCATCTCACAGTTTCTTTTTGTTGTTGTTGTTGTTTTAAAGATTTTATTTATGTATGAATGCTCTATCTTCATGTATGCCTTTATGCCAGAAGAGGGCATCAGATCCTACTATAGATGGTTGTGAGCCACCACGTGGTTGCTGGGAATTGAACTCAGGATCTCTGAAAGAGTAACCAGTGCTCTTAACTTCTGAGCCATCTCTCCAGCCCCAACTGTCTCACAGTTTCTTATAGAGCTACCTCAACCTACCTGGCATGTGTTTGATCAGAAGCTTTATTCACCATTGAACACTAGCCTCTCTCTGAAATAGATGGTTGCCTTGGCTGACTTACCTACCTTTCTTGTCTACTTTTTCTCCTTCCCTTATGTGTGTGTGTCTGAGTGTATGTAAGTGCATGTATGTAAGTAAGTGCATGTATGTAAGTGTATGTATGTACATGCAGGAGCTTACAGGTAAAATGAAACTTTGGATCTTCTGGAACTGGAGTTACAGATACTATGTAGATGCTGAGAACCAAACCTGTGTCCCCAGCAAGAACAGCAAGCTATCTTTTCATGTCTTCCTCTCCAACTTTTTAAGGAAGGTATGTATATTCTTGGCTGGCTTAGAATTAGCTGTGTAGACCAAGGCTGCCCTGAAGCTCGCAGAGCTCTACCTGCCTCTGCAGGTAGTTACCACCATTCCATACACACATACACACACACACACACACACACACACACACACACACACACACACACACACACACACACACACACGTATATATATATATATTTGGACATATGTGTGTGTATGTCCAAATACATTGTTTGAAATACTCCAAAACAGTTTATTCTGTTATGAAATGCATATAGTTGTATTACTGATTCACATTTACCTTGAGTCTTTTGTTCATGTTATTCTCTTTTCTTTTCACAATATACTCTACTTAAGAATTTTGGATTTCTTTTTGAAACAACGTCTCACTCTACAGGCTGAAGTGATCTTCCCTTCTCATCCTCCCAAGTAGCTGTGCCACAGTGCACAGTGCCACCTTAATCCAGCAAATGCACCTTCAATTTAGATAGGTGTATCCATAAAATGCCCAATGGGAAGCACCCCTTTGCTATTCACAAATTTAATTCACAAAATTAAATCCACAGTTGTTTACTTTGCACTGTTTCAGGCTTTACCTGACTCATTCTAATTCAGTCTTGTTCTCATTTCTGAAAAACTTTTATCATTTCTATGTTCATTTCACAACTTGAGATGGAGTGTGTCTGTCATTTGCCCTCTTCTCTAGTTTAGGTTTCTAGCTTGTTTTCTTAACTATGATTAGCAGCTACCCCCTGACTACACTCCTTTAAATTATGTTGGCTAATACTTTGCCAGGCCAAAAAGCCAAGTATAGACCCTAATAGCCAATACCTGCATTCTAGTGTCCATACTAGTCAAAATCCTCCCCAAGTTTTCAGTTCATCATGCTTACAGATCACAAGCAGGCATTTTCAAAGCTAACAAATATGGCAGCTAAATAGTTCTCCTGCTAAAAACCATCAGCATTTTTATTTACCTCTGCCTTTGGCTCAGCTGATTCATTAGAGGTATCAAGTTGTTCCTTGGCCTGGGCCATCTGAGTCATCAACCTATCCATGTGAGATTGGATATCCGCCAGTATCTCAGTCACATGAGCTGTGGCCATGGCTTCTTGGATGTCCACTAAATGAAGGGCCTTCTGCTCCTCATCAGCAATCACTTTCTGAACTTTCTTAAATTCTTGTTGTATAAATATCTTCATCTGGTCTCGAGTTACCTGTAGAACACAGATACATAAGAAGTGTAGATTGAATATAACAAAGAATTAGAAAGGGAGAGGTTTTTTAAATAGTGCTAGGTAGTCTTACTCTAAATACAAATTATGGTTGCTATCTCATTTTGAAGTCTTAGAAATACATTTTTAACAATATTCTTCCAACACCTTTGATAAATTTCCTGGTAACCGTTTTTATTTTTAAGGAACTAATTCCTTACCATGTATGTATGTATGTATGTATGTATGTATGTATATATATATATATATATATACACATATCTTTGTGTTTTATTGAGTTATATACCAGTAATATATAACTACTTTTAAAAAAATACATAAAATAAAAAGTATAATTTCTAGCCAGATATGGTGCTTCATAAGTGTAATTTCAGCATGCCAGAGACTGAGGCAGAGGAATGTCAAGAATTCAAAGCCAGCACAAATTACCAGTAAGTTCCAGGACAGCTGGGCTATAGTACTCTGTCTCAAAAACAAACAAAAAAGAGGATGAGGAGAAAGTATAGACTGGGAATAATGGTACATTCTTGAAACCTCAGTATTGAAGGCAAATGTAGGAGGATAATGGTTTTGAGGCCATGCTGTTCAATATAGTAAGACTGTCTTGAAAAGTCAAAATACAACAAGACCCAAAGAAACAGTTCAGTAGGTGTTCTGTTTTTTATATTATTACTCATGTATACATGTTTCTATAAATGGATTACAGTGAACATATGGTTCTATGTCTTGTTTTTCCACTTAAAATGTTAGTGAATACAGACAGCACCTTCATCTTTTCTATTAATTTTTACCACTTTCAGGATATAAAGATATATCCCATTTATTCCTCTCACAACAGAGATGTGCAATTTCTAAATTTTTACTATTACAGACAACACAGCAACGAATGTCTGAGGAATATCTCTTAATATTTACGTGTCTTCAGAAATCTCTTAAGTCATTAAGCCATTTCATAATATGCTAAGGTTATTGTGATGCTGCCAGACTACTCTCTGAAAGGAATGGAGCAATTATGTAACAATGTGTGAAAGGAAGCACTTCTCTACACCCTTATCAATACCGGGTAATATCAAACTTTGACATTTTTCAATGTAGTAGGTAAAAAATGTTACTATCATATTTTTCTACAACTATAAACCAAACACACACATACTCAAGTGTGCGCACACAAACACAAGCAGCTGACAGTGTATTTGGCTAAGAAATAAGAAAGGCAAATAAAATAAAAACCTATGAAAATAAAATAAGTAATTTTAAAAGCTCTGTATTTTCTTATTTTGTTTGCTGTTTTTGTGGTGCTGGGGATTAAACTAAGAGCCTTACACATAGAGGACAAATGCTCTACCACTGAGTTACATCCCCAATTTCATCAGTATTTTTAAACAGCTATGCATATTGTGTGTACCTGAGATAAGAAACAGGAACGGGAACTAGGAAGTGGTTCATTTATTTAAAGTGCTTGTTGTGTAAGCATGAGGGCCTGGATTTGTATCTCCAGCACTCACATAAAATATGGGTACAGTGTTGTACAATGGCAACCCCATAGTCAGAGCAGCAGCATGGGTGGCTGCTGGACCTCACTGGCTAGTTTAAGAGAAAGAATGAGCTCCAGGTGCATTGAGAACTCTTATCTTAAAAATAAGGTAGGGCTGAGAGATGGCTCAGTGACTAAAGTGCTTGCCCTGCAGGTGTGAGGACCAGAGTTCAGATCCCCAGAACCCATGTAAATGCCAGGTAGGCATAGCAGCTTGCCTATAATCACAGAGCTTAGGAGGCAGATACAGAGACTAACTGTATCTGAAAGCTCTGAGTTCAATTGAGAGACCTTGCCTCAGTGAATATAAGGGAGTGAGACTAAGAAAGACTTCTCATGTCAACTTTGGGCTTCCACATGCATACACATATACACACATGCAAACATGCACAGACACATGTATGCACAACATACATAATACTCATAAATAATTAAAATTAAAAGATGAAGAGCAATTATTAGAGACACTGCACACAAATTTCTACACATACATACAGACTACACCCATGTTCACATACACATATAACACACGCACACACACACACTGAAGAAGCAGAACTACAGGTAACAGGAAAAGGGTCCATCAGGAAAGGATGTGGGGAGAATAACGGGTAGTTAGGCAATAAAGTGAACTTCTTTTATAGATTTAAGGAAACAGACACAGAAGCAAACTTATAGGAGAGGAGGAGACTTCAAATTTTTTGTTCTCAGTCTGGTACACTTTTCATAGAAGGCCAGCGGGGAGAGGGGGGGAATCACACTGGAAAGAAAACTGAAGAACAGAAAGACTGAAAGTAGAGGAAGGAGATATTAGCCTATTAGAAACTGAATAAAGATTGATGAGGTCTTAAAAAGCTTTTTAAACGATGCCAAGGCAAAAGAATGCCTGCGTGCCAAGTTGCCAGGGACACATCAAGTGGCTAAGTGATCTAAGCCCTCCAGAATTCAAATCTTCTCTGTAGATGCTCTCCCTGGTGCTAGAAAAAAAGAGATGGGAAATGTTAAATGATATTAATGTCCCTAATGAGTTTATCGGATTGGGAACCAGGATTTGTGCTTATATCATTTTTTATATTTCTATTTTAATGTATGCATATGCTATGATGATTGTTTATCGGTACATTTCTACTATTAAGATAAATTAACTGTTTACTGATCTTAGAGCATCTCTCAGAAACTAAATCTAGAAAGTTTGCATGAAGAGATGAAATTTTCTGAATGACTGATATTCTAAATATTTTCAGTGGTTTCAAGTGATATAAACTGACTGCAATCTATTAGACCTCACATACACATGTGGCTGATAGTTAGGAAGCTAGCATCACAATCAGTAAAAGTGGATCAAAGGGAAGGCAAATTAATCCTAAGTTTTAATAATTAAAATTCCTCATTTCCTACTGCTTTACATAGTTTTCAACAAAACACTTCGTCTTATATAAAGGAAGTAAAAAATAAGACTGCAGAGCAGAATAATCTATCAAACCTTTATGCCTTCCTCCTACTTTCATTAGCACTAATTAACTGATTGACAGTCTTCAACCTAATTCAAAGAAATAACTTGAGTCCTAGCATTCACCTTTCTCCAGAGCCTAAGGAAAAGCCTCCCTGGGAGAGGGCATATGAAAGGATGGGTGTTCTGGACAAGGACTCCTGCTTTCTAAACTTCCTTCCAGTTATTTCACCTTGTCACCAAAACTCTATCCTGAAAAAAAAAAATCTCAAAAGCCAATGAGCCCTCCTTTATTCTGGTTCCTATTACCTGGAAGTCTCAGATATCCTTCCTGAGTGAGTTTATTGGTACTTCTTCAGCCTGTTTTAAAGTTCCTCATAAGTGTCAGTGATAATCTCACTGTATGTGATGTCTATAAAAAGGAAAAACTCTACAAACTCAGTAAGAAAGGTAGATAGACAGAACAGTGAAAATGGAATCTGGAAGCTGCTTTCTAGATAGCATCTACTAAACTATCAAGCCTTACTCTAAACAAAATCTTAGTGTGGAATCTTAGAGGCTAATTATACAAGGTGGAACGACTTAAGAGAAAACTATAAAACTATGCCCCTTCCTCTTTGAAGTGCATACTCACTAGGTCAATGAGTATCTTCAGGAAAATGTTACCTGAGGGACTTGGTCCTTAACACACAAAAAAATTATAAAATGAGTTTTCTTTCTCTCTTTGCTCAACTGGTTCCCAATTTGCTAAAATCATTAGCACTTCCCTTATGAGCACAATCCTCTATCGGGTTATGGCTGCATTAGCACGCAAATGCTATTACTTAAACACAGCATTGTCTGTAATTTGGAAACACTGGTGATTAATTTATGTATAGTCTGAACAGATTAGTGAATTACCTATGGTGACCTTATTTTATAGGTGAAGAAGGGGAGCGCTGGGGAAGAACAGTCATAATGTCAAGTTTTGATTTTTTGCCTTGTTCCAGTACTATGTTTTCTGCTAAACACACTGCTTTTATGATTGCTCAGGACTTTTCAGATAATTTATTTGAGATAGGATCTCTATATGTAGCCTTAGCTGTCCTCGAACTCACTATGTAGACCAGGCTGGCCTCAAATTCAAGAAATATGTTGCCGCTACCCACTAAGGACATCACCATACCCAATGGTGATGGAGTTCATTTCTACCTGAGTTATTTCTATATTCAATAGAACAGTTCTCTTATGGTACCTACCAGAATAAATAATTTACAACCTTAAAGAGTTAAATATTATCCCATGATATATTCTATATACTCTTGTATTTAATATTTCCTAGCTATTTAAGACCCAAGAGGTATGTAGACTGGCACTTTACACATACATAATTGAGCACATAAAACCTTGAAGTAAGAAGCTTGTAGTTAAAACAATATCTACTCAAAGTATCTGAAAGGGACTAAAAGCTATTAACTCCTTGCTAGTTGAAATACAGGGGTTTTGTTTTGTTTTGTTTTTACTAATTACAGGTAGCTTTAAAAGAACAAGAAGAATCACAGCAAGAAAGCATCATGGCTCAATAAAAATGTATTTCAGAAAAGTAGGTCTTCTTCAATGACAAGATCTCACAAGTCCATGTCTCATATATGACTGAAAAAGCCAGTTTATTAATAAAACAACAGTGCACTTCTCAGGCTATGAAAATTATCAAGCAGTTTAGAAACACAGCAGAAGTGAACTCTGTACTATATCCCATCACCAACATTCTCAGTAAAGTCATTCTCATGACCTAGTTAGAAACTTGACTTCCTTGGATTTTACACTGGGGTATTGAGAATGTTCAAGAAGACATTAAGTAAAGTAAGTGATATTTCAAGTCTTCCTTTTGGGCTACAACCCAGCAGTGGAGTGCTTGGGCTTAAATCCCCAGCAGCACAAAAAACAAACAACTACCCCACTCTTCCTTAAACCAGCATTCCAATCCTCTCACATGGCTCCAGAGCAAAGCAGCCACGT